TCCAATAAGCAAATCCACCATCCCATCTTTGGCCGGCTTTGCAAAATCACATCGTGTTAAATGTTCCCATCTTTCCTTGCTAACACTCCAGTCTTCCACCTTGTAATTTCCCGTAACCTTTCGAGGGCAGGTCTTCACACTAATGTTCTTACAAAACTGTCCGTCGACACTCTCAATAGTAACATTTACTGGCATTGACTCAAATGTTTCAATCTCGTCATTCAGGACGTGTACTTTCACTGTTTGCAATGGTTCTTGAATGTCCAACACTCCTGCAACCTCAGCATTAAGGAATGTCTCGTTTGATGCATCATCGAGTAGCGCATTAACTTTCACCTTTCGATTGTTCGCTTTTAACCATACTGGAATTGTTCGTAGTGAGAGTGCTTCAGTGGCTGGGGTATCATGCATTGTGGTATGTGTGCGGGAATCAGTTTCCCCCTCCCGTGGAACAACCGGATTCTTGTCCTCTGGGCGTTTAACTGGTGGGGCAGAATCATGCAGCAGGGCATGGTGATTCTTTGTACAACCATCAGTCTTACAGGCTTTGGACCTAAGGCATGCCTTTCCCTGGTGGTCACTCCCAAGACAGCGAAAGCACAAGTGCTTAACTTTCGCTATATTCCATCTATCTTGAACCTTCATATCCTGAAACCTCTGGCAAGACCATATACCATGGTTCCCCTCACACAATGCACAAGGTGGCTTCACATCCTTACCACCAACTCCACCACGACCAGCAAATAGTGTACGGGACCGACCTCTATCACCATATCTAAACTTTCCCCCACCAGCTTCATTCCTTTTCAACGACAAATCCATACCTTCAACACCATGAACCATTTCCACAGCTTCCACTCTCACCCTAACCTCTTCCTTCAACCAATCCTTCAAGCTTAACACTGACCTCTCCTTTTTATGTTCCCTAAGCCAACGACTATAGCTTTCAACCTGTCTTTCTGCAAGCTTTTTGACCAACAAGCCATGCAACGTTCCTTCCCCCAACTCTCCATCCCGACCCTCTGCCTGCAACTTAACAACGGTTATCCGGACAAGATCTGCAAATCTCTCAAAGCCCTGCACATCACTACCCTTCAGGGAAGGCATTGCCTCTAGCTGATCCATATAAGCCTGCAATTGTCGCCTTCGCCCCCCAAACTTTGTCGTCAGAATTTCCTTAGCCTCCTCGTATTCAGGCAAAGAAACCCCCAACCCTCGGATCGCTTCAAGCGCAGTTCCTTTTAAACTCTGACGCAATCTGGCCATTTTTATATTGGCTGGCTCGTTCCCGCTATCCACTAAACTACTGAATAGTCCCCAGAAGTCCTCGAAACGTGTTTTATCACCCTCGAACACAGGCACTTTAAGTGGGTCAAGCTTATGTTTTGATACCCCAACGTTATTTCCCGTATTATTTTCTGCTGCTAACAAATTCTGTTGACTTGTTGGTGTGTGTTGAGTGTTTACAATACTGACTGGTTCACTTGATTGTTTTGATTTTACTTGCAAAAATTCGTTAATTGCACCCTCCGCCCTTTCAATTGCTTGTAATGTTTCAGATTCAAAATTTTCTGCTTCTGTGTTCGTTGTTGCATTACTGTCATGTTTACCAATTTGCATATAAGCATGACTGAGCTCATCCATAACACTCATGCTTTGCTCTAGCAACTCCCATAAACCTTCAATTTGCCCTTCTATTGATTGAATGTCAAGCTCACCTTTTTTTGCACATAATCTTTCCAAACTGTGTCGGACTTTAGTCACTGCTGTTTTTTTTGACCTCTTGTTACGTTTCAGTTCGAGAATTCTTTCATAACTTTCATGCTTATCATCCTTTGCACTGGCTGAACTTCCACTTGTCTCGACCGTCTTTTCCTGTCCTTGAATTTCCTCATTGTCACTCATTTTTCCCGATTTTTACGACGATAAAATAGGCAAAATACAACGTTCGAATTAACTCCAGCTAAATTACCAATAATTCCAAATGGAAAACCTGTCAGAGTCCGATACTATAACTGTTAAACGATTTAACATAAGTCCACAAAACCACGCACGACTCAATCACGTTTTTCGATCGATAAATTTCCCTTCGAATTTGCCATATGTCCTGGCAGGATCGCCATAAATGTAGCCACGATATTGGTAGAACTCGTTAAGTTTTCAATAAAATGTATTTAAAATAATGGTTTACAAAAAAATAGTAAGAAAATATGATATTAACTGTTCTTTTCGAAATAATCGCCCGATCAAAATCCTCGATAAAACAACAACAAAGTAAAATTCCCCAGAACCCGGTCAAACCGGTTTTTCACGAGGACAGTTCCGCGCGTGACGACGGCCACGCGAATCTCTCGCACTATTCTAGCGCCTTCTGAACACACGCTAGTATGATAATTCATAGTGTACAAAATGAACTTACTGTTTTAATTTCTGTCAGACTAACAACTCCAATACATCAGCTGAGATTCATACTGGTGTTGGAAATATAAATCGTATTGGTCAATACGTGTCCTACAACAATTTCAGGTAAAGAGTGGTGCTGGCATGCAACGCATGCATATCTGTTGCTATAGCGACGAAATGCGCGATATTTTACGTCAAAAGATTGAGTGCTAGATGATTTTAGCTAATTATCCCTCACAACCCCTGTTACCACTTGTTTATTCTGCCAAATATAGCAAAATTTCGCAGTTGGTCAAAGGTTCCTTGTGGAAGAGGCTATACATGTATATTGGAGACTTGTGTATATAATATATATTTTATATATACTGTATGTATGATTTGCAAAATGTATTCCTGGAAACAGGAATACATTGAGTATCAAACACGCCGCATGCATAGCATGGCTTAGGTTCTATTCTAGTAATGCAACGTCACATACTAGCTAAAAAGCGCTGCAGCACAACATTGTTCTGGTGGACGCAAATGTACCAAACGAATTAAAACACATATTATTAATAAAGTGGGAAAACCTGAATTCCTGTATATGCATAGCCTCGACCTTATGCTTAGATTGCTTTCGAATTTTATTCAGTCTTACGTAATGTTTGAAGTTTCTGCCTGTTTTCGAAGGTTTGAAGTCGAGGCTAATGGCTATGCGTGTATAGTGCTACCCTGCAATAATTCTGCAAATGGTCGATTTACCATATTTTTATTTATTCCATCATAGAACCCTGCCATGGTGGAACACAAAATGGGCAAATATGATCAATGGAACAGGTAAAGAATGACAATTAATGTCAATTAATGACGATCAATAATTATGAGACAGACGCATGTTAACTGCATGATGTTGAACTTAAAAAGTCTTTGCAGGGGTGAAGCCAAATTTGAATAAATTACTTTAATAGGTCATGGTAAAAACCGATCGTGAAATGACTTTCTCTGTCAAATATGTCGATTAAATAGTATAACTTATAAAATTTACCAGGACTTATAAACATGTGGCATGCTTTGCAAATTATATAAACACCACTTTCAGAATGTAAGATTACGTTCGTACATGTAGGACCGTGACTAAAACGTGCAATTACCAATGATACAATTAACACTTCTAATTGCTGTCGCACACCTGTCTTTGTCACACACCCATTCTTTTATTGTGTCATCTCACTTTATTCTGTATGATATATTTCATTATGCACTATAAGAAAAGTCGTTGTGCACTCCGGCACTCCGCAAATTCATACAAACCTTACTGATTTCCAACATGATGACTGGTAACGCTTCCTAGAACCCTCATCACGAGACATTGTTTATTTAAGTGTCATGCACTTGTTTGTCTAGATTTTTAAAGATGTTGATAGATGTCATATTTAGTCTAGGACCTGTATATGAGTTTGTATGCGTTTCATTTAGGACAGGTA